ACTTTAGTATATTCAGAAGTATCTTAAGGTATCACTATATGGGAAGAAAAGGGAAGGAAGATGAGGCTGTTTCTTTGGTTCTCTTGGCTTCCTGCTTTCTAAATAGTATTTTCTCTTTTCCCCTACTGATTTTTGGCTCGTCTACTCCCACTAATACTCTAAGATTCATTTTAACCAGCGCCTCCTTCTGAGACTTGCCAAATCTGGGTTAGTAGCTTAGGGTCTGGGCTCTGTTTAGATACATATCTTGCTCTAATCTTTTTATAGCTACACATCTCCCACAGACTATCCATTTCTTGAAAGTATGAAAGTATGTTCTTTTCATACTTTTCTAAATTAAACTGTTGTCCAGTTAGTTCCTAAAAACTAGAAGTAGTTCATAAATTTATTCTGACCTTTCCCCAGGGTAGATCAAGTTAACAAAGCTTACCAAAATTGTACAAACAGACTGTTTCACTGAGGCTTTTGTTTTAAATATACACTGGCAAGAACTAAACGAATGAAAATCCTCAGAAGAAATAATGTAGAAGGAATGAATATTCTACTAATTACAAGAGATTACATAGATGAAAAAAATCGAGGCAGTCAGGCAAATTTGGGAAAACTTGTTTTACCATTTTACATGTACTATGCTAGCAAAAAATTTTAAAAATATAAAACATGGAGAGAAGTTTTGTTGACGCTAAAAGTCACTCCCTTGCTGGTGGTATAGCAAAGTGGTCTAACTCTAGGAAGCAGTATACAATATGTATATGAAAAGCCAGATGACTTTGTGACTCAAAGTCAACTTCTGTAAATTTATCCCAAGGCAAGATATGAAAAGAAGAAGCAGTTTATATACCTGAAAATGCTCATTGTTTCAGTAATAAGGGTGCTCCCACTTTTCTGATGCAATCCCTCTTCCCCACCGCTCTTTCATGTATGAGGTAATGTTGCTCCTCTGGACTTTCAGTGAAGTTATGGAAATGGATGTTTAGAAGCCCAGGCTAAGTGAAATCTTTTTTTTCTTTTAATTCTCTTAAAAAGTTTTTAGGTTATAAAAAAAAACAAAACCAAAATGAGAGTGTTAATAGTTAACAAAATAATAATAGAATAACACTAGTTAATACACTGTGTATCATCTTCAAAGTAGCTACTCAGTATAAGACATCAACAAAAAACATTCTTACACAGAAGAAACAAATAGGTATTATCACAAAACTTTCTTTTCAATGGTGATGTCTTTAAATCACAAAAGAAAAATAAAATTTTCTGGGTTTAGCTGGGTTTCTATGTAACAGAAAAAAGAAAAAGAAAAACAGATTAGAAGAACAATTATTGCCACAATCTTTAGAACTGAAAACAATCTCCAATGGAGTATGAATAATAAATCAGTGGTCCTCAAATATTTTTGTCCACATACATAAAGCCTTCCTTCTCCCATATTTTTCAATTAACATCCCCAAATTTTTTATCGTAAGTTAAAGTAGTTGCAAAGGATGCAGTTTCTTACATGCTGTACAATTAACATTTTAAAACAGCTTCACTTTTATAAGTGGGTCCAAATCATAGCATTTATGCCTACTCTCAATCATTAAAAAAAAATAAACTCTAATAGAATATTTTACAAAATTTATTTTTCTCTTCATACTCATAATTTCATATTCACTTCTCTCAAGAGCATATCCCTATTTATATTTTTTGTGTTTGAATTTTTTGACCCACACTATTATATCTTTCTGTGAAAGATATTATATCTTCTGTGAAAACACAGAAATTGAAATTTAAGATTTTTAAATTTCCTATGATTGAAAGAATGTAAGTACTTGAATATTTTCTTCTAGGTTGATTAGTAATAATCAAGCGTTCAAAATATTATGGAAATCTTGGAAAGAAATACACAGAGACACAGAATTTGGATAAAATAATAAAATTTCTTCTCGCGAGCGGGCAGGATGCCAGAAACCAGTCTGGTCAGTATCCGTGCCCCCTTTGTTCAGCTTTTCCCTTTTTATATCCTTTTTAGCCATTATCTCATCCCTAGTGGTCTTTGATGTGTAAATACAATTCCAGTTCCTAGTTACAAGTCACAGACATGAGATAGGCCATATACATTATAAATTCACCCTGGCATGGTAACTTTGTTAGGTTAATGAAGTTACCAGTTAGAGTCAGATAATCCTTACCTTAAACAAGGAGTTATGGGAAAAGCAAATCTTAAAAGAATACATTACTTATTTTGCTTCTACAATTACCTTAATATTCAATCTATTAAGTTATCTAAAACTTTTCCATATCAAAAAAATACAAAATGTTAAAATATTTATAATTAATTTTAATATAATTATGCATAAATTTATTGTTAATACTGCTTCTAAGTAGAATGAGATAGTTCAGCATCCATGTTTCCTCAATTTTTCAATTTTATCAATTCTGAGAAAATTATCACATTAATAAGAAGATAGATCTATAAGGAATTTTGTGTTTTTATCAATGTCACTCAATTCTTTGAATTCTTTCCAATTTATAAACTCAGTGATCTCTAGGTCATACTTTCTTAAAAAGTACTTATTTCGAAATTAGCTGAGAATTTGTTACCTATTTGTTAGAAGTATACACTTTCTCAATACAGCTCAAAATTTTAAATTACTAAGGAACTGACAAAGTTTCCTAAGGTTTTTACTTTCCAGAGTAATGCATCATTTAAACATTCTGAAAATGTGAAAGGTGTACCTTTCTGTTTTGCAAATTGGGAAAGACAAGGTATTGTGAGAAAGCTGGGAAATGTACCAGCAAGACACCTTGACTACATACCTTTCACTAGCAGATGGATTTTAGGAAGGAATACTATAGGAGAAAGCTGAAAATTGAGAAACTAGTAGCCTTAAAACTAAGTCCGTTCAGCCCTTATGAATCCCATGGAGGACATACCCCTCAGTTTGAAGTTCACTGACATAAATTTGTACATCATTTTGTTGAATTAAATGAGAAAGAGAGGTCACCTTGAGTTAGGCCTTTGTTGGAACACTGATTGGTAGCTATATCCTAGGAGTATAGAACAGTGACCTATATATAACTGGAGCTAACAAAGTTGTCTTCTTGGGCTGGGGAGCACCTCTGTAAATCCAACACTCAGAGGCTGGGGCAGAAGAATCACAGAGAGTTTGAGGCCAGCCTGGGATACATAGTGAGTTCAAGGCCAGCTTGAATTACATAGCGAAATCCTGTCTCAAAAACAACAAAGTTGTCATCTTGGCTATTTTATTTATTTAGGCACTGAGGATTGAACCCAGGGCCTTCATACTGAATTATATTTCATCCTTTTTTTCAATTTTTATTTTTATTTTGAGGCAAGTAGTACAGGTAGCACAATTGGGGTTGGGAGACCACGCCTCTCCACCCACTTGACTTTGGGCATCACCACAGGGCTAATCCTTTTTCCTTTGTTCTGTTAGAAGCAGAAAACAAAACAATAAAGATCTGGGAAATCTCCAGTCTAGGGCACTTGCATGTTAGATCTCAAGGCCTGACCTTCAATAATCTTTTCCCCACTTGAACCTCATTAAAAGTTCACATATATGGACTCCATTTCATGTATGCAATTTAATCAGAAGAAACTCTAGGACAAGCCTGTGCGTTGGAAGCTCTTGAGATTCTTGTCAATCATATCCAAAGACCTGATGAGAGCCACCTGGGTTGGGGTATACATCCTGTAGATTCCAAGCCTGATTTATCTGTGTGCTGTGCTTTTTATTTCCCTGTAGCCCTAACACCACATTTCTGTTAGTGCTTGCCCTCAGGACATCTTCACGTAATCTTAAATAAATGTAGTTGCTTTTTCTATTACCATTGGATGTACACTTGCAATTTTTTGCTTCTCATACACAAAAGCCTGGAATTTATCTGTTGGCTCCACCACACCATATCATGAGGTCTTCCTAGGTAACTGAATTGCCCAGGTTGGGCTGAAATTAGAGATCTTCCTATTTCAATCTCCCAGAGTGCTGGGATTACAGGTATGCTCCCACACTCACTGTTTTTGTTGTTGTTGTTGTTTTTATTTTGTTTGTCCCCGCCCCCCCATGCTGGGATTACAGGTGTGCCCCACTGTAAATGGATGGTTTTTAGATTTCCTTGCATTACTAATTTCTTCGTTTATTCTCAGTTCTTTTACATTTCCTTCTTAGTAGTAACCTGCTTCAATTTTGGGGATCTGATGTTGACTGTATGTACAAACTACCTAAGGGAAATATTATGCTACATTTATAAATAATCAAGATTATAAAAACATGAGAAATATTTAGTGTGGCAAGGGAAAAAATGTAAAACATATAGTTGTATGAAAATCGCAAAAATTCACAGACTTTAGACGTTATAAATATAAAAACGAAGCTGTGATTTTTTTAGAAAGTGTCTCTAGTGTTGCATGGCTTCTAACAATGAGAATGGTTACATCGATGATGTAATATACCCTTTTCTCCAGTGGTTCTAAGGAACTATGTTTCCTCAAACGAAGTGTTCAAGAAACTGACGGTCCATTTTAAAAACTATTTTTTCATGATTCGTTACGGGTATTGTTTCCTAAACATAGTTAAACTCTTCTTCAACCTAGTGCAATACGGAACATTCTAGGTCTTAATGTCACGAATTCCAGAAAATTATTTCACACTGTGAGGTGGTAATTCCCTTCATTCATATAAACTCTTAGTTCTTTTCCATTTCTGGCTTTGTTATTCACAATTCAAGAACTCGACTTTGTTGACTTTATACTTAAGTTAAGCTTTACCATTCCTCGTAATTTTTATATTTTTCAGTGACTATACAGTATTTCTGAAGAAATCAGTCATCTGGTAGGTTTCAAAGCAAATCCGATATATGAAGTTTATGTTGTGTGTGTTTCTGTTTTGGCCTTAATTACGCGTTAGGCATTTTCAGGGCCTACCAAAGAACAATGAGGCCGGCTTGAGCGTTGCCACGAGTTGACATTAGTACCACCACTCCCCTAGTGCTTGGGAACTCACCAGCAGTCAAGCCAGGGCCAAGAAAACAGGACGCAGCGAGCCCGCGAGATTTAGGCAGTTACTCGACCTACCATTGGTCGCAGCTGCAGATCCCCGCCCCCTCGCGGCGCCCCGCCCCCCGCCGCACGCCTGCGTGTCCCGGGACGCGCGGCCCCGCCCCTCCCGCGGCGCCTCACCCCGTCCTAGGCGGTTGCCTCGGGAGGCCGCCGCCCTCTCCCGGCCCAGTGGCGCGGCTCCTGCGCCAGTGATGTGAAGTAGTCCTACGGCTGGCCCGCCCCCGGCCCGCAGCCCATTACACCATCCGCCGCGGCAGCCGCTGCAGCCCCAGCTGACTGGGAGGGCGGGAGGCCGCTCGGCGCGGCGTGGCGGGGCGGGGCGAGCGGCGCGGCGCGGCTCATTCCTGTGGGGCGCGGGACATGGAGGTGACGAGTGGCTGCGGGCGGAGCGGGGCGGCCCGGGCGGCGGAGAAGGCGGCTTCCATCTGACCGGGCGGCCTAGCCGAGCGGCCCGCGGCGGCGGGGAGCACCGGCCCCGGGCAGGTAGTGGCGGCGGCGCGGCCGGGACCTCGGCCTGAGGCGCCCGCGGAGGCCTGGGCGGGAAGGGGCCTTGGGGAGGGCTGGCGGGGAGCGGGAAGGGCTCCGGGATCAGAAAAAGGAAGAGGCGAAGGTTGCGTGGGGTGGGGGGGGGCCCTGCTTGGAGAACCCGCGGGTCGGCAGGCGCTGGTGGGGAGCAAAATGGGGCGGGCGAAGTTAGTGACTTAGGCAGCCGGATTTCCTGAGAGCCTCACAGGAATGAAAAGCTCTCGGTGAGGGTTTTGGCCCTATCTGAGGAAGGGTTGGTGTGTCCGACCCTTTTGTTCCTTGTGTGAACCTTCCTGGCCGCGCCGAGGCCTTCCCCGCCTTGCGCCCTTGGCCGGCTCTCCTCTGCAGAGGCGAGAAAGAAACATTTCTGAACCTGCCGCGTCCCTTGCCTCGGTCGGTCGTATTCTCCCTGGGCGTGTGCAGAACAAACTGGAACAAAGCCTGACTGATTAGAGCTGGAGACCAGAAAACCAGATCCGTCTAGTGTTTAAATTTTCCGCACAAGGAGAACACTGCCTCCCAACAAAACACCTGGGTCTCGTGTAAACCTTTTGTATTTTCCTTTTCCACTTTTCGGGGAGGAGGCACAATAGTCCTGAACGTAAGGCATGTTTTTCCTCCGCTTTTCCCCACAGAATTAGAAATTAAGAAAAACTAGTGTTTTTGCCGTTCCCTATGGAAAATTCAAACTGCCATTCTTTTCTTTCTCTAGTTTGGCACTCTGGTTGTCAGATGTTGGAAGGCAATAGGAAAAAACATATCCCTGCGGTTTTACATCCATTCTGGGGTTCAGTGACTTGCCTCCGTCGATAGAGTTAAGCTGGAGCTTTGCTTTGAAGGATAAATAAGGCACAGCCTCTCTACTGGACATAAATGGATCTAAAGACAGCAGTGTTTAACGCAGCGCGGGATGGCAAACTCCGGCTTCTTACCAAGTTGTTGGCAAGCAAATCCAAAGAGGAAGTTTCCTCCTTGATCTCTGAAAAAACAAACGGGGCCACGCCGCTCTTGATGGCTGCCAGGTATGGGCACCTCGACATGGTGGAATTCCTTCTGGAGCAGTGCAGTGCCTCCATAGAAGTTGGGGGCTCAGTCAATTTTGATGGCGAAACCATTGAGGGGGCTCCCCCTTTATGGGCTGCTTCTGCAGCCGGTCATCTGAATGTGGTCCAGTCTTTGTTAAATCATGGAGCATCTGTCAACAACACCACTTTGACCAATTCGACTCCTCTTCGAGCAGCATGTTTCGATGGCCATTTGGAAATCGTGAAGTACCTTGTAGAACACAAAGCTGATTTGGAAGTGTCAAACCGGCACGGACATACGTGCTTGATGATTTCGTGTTACAAAGGACATAAAGAGATTGCTCAGTATTTACTTGAAAAGGGGGCAGATGTTAACAGAAAAAGTGTTAAAGGTGAGTTCAGTATCTTTGTTTTTATTTTTTTAAGTGTCTACCATTTAGGAAGTTTGATACATAATTATAAGCATTGGTATTAAGAACATTGAGAGACCTGTTTTGATTAAGTAACTCTTCCATGTAATCTTGTCAAGTGTTTCTTTAATATTTGATAGTACAATGAACAAGTGTAATAAAAAGATCTGTCACTATATTAAGTAGCATTTTCTCTCTCTTATTGGAGTAACTTCCAATTTTTGGGAATTGGTTCCTTACAGATACTGAGCATGTTAGTGTAGTTTACTTGAGCCTTTAATGTAGTTAGGAATATAGTTAAAAATACATTTTTCTTAAGCTTTTTTTCCTAGAACAACCTTAGAGTAGAAACTACTATATTTAGTAAGTCATCATCTTGTTTGTTTCTCCTTAGGCATTTCATTTGTTACTATGTGGGAATAGGCTAAACAAAACTGACCTGAAGGGCTTAATATCAGTGGAAAAGAAGGGTGTCTATTCACATATTCCATTTTATTTATGGTCAGTAGAAAATCCTTTTATGTAGAACATAAATACTATATAGCAAGAAAGAAAATTGGTTTATTTTTTTTTTTTAAACTGCTTCTATACTGAGCAGACAAAACAAGGACTAGGTTAAACAAATGTAGATTTATTGGCTAGCAACAATGTAAAAGACCTTTGTTCCTAAAGGGTTTAGATTTACAATTGTGTGTAACTTTCACTGATTGTAATAGGCTAAAGAAGCAAATGTAAGAGTCTTTTAAAACTCTTAAAAGCAGTTATTTTCATAGCATGATTTTGACACTTGAAAACCATGTTTTTCTTAAATATCTTTGACAGCAAAGTAATTCACTGCCTAATTTTAAAAAGCTATTACATTTAAAAGGAGCATAAATAGATGTTAAAAAATGTTTAAACAAACGGTATAAATTTGTTCACACTGAAAATAAGTCTTGTTATGCCTGATTTCTAGACCTCCAACCCAGGAGCCACTTCTACAGTTTTTGTCTTTCTAGAGATAGTCTGTGCAAAAGAAAACAAACTTGTTTTTGCTTTCCTGTCCCTTTTCCCTCTCAATGTTGGTTGATACCTACTCTTCTGTCTGTATTTTTTTAACCATAGTTTATCTTGGATGTCATTCACCTCTTAACATACACAGCTGCCACATTCTTGTTTCACACTATACAGTATTTCACTTTGTGATTGTACATAATTTATCTCATCTCTATTGATGGATATGTAGGTCACATTCTTGCTAATTTAAACAATGTTTCTTTGAACCTTCTTGAACAAAAATGTGTCTTTGCACAATTGTGTGAGAGTAGCTGTAGTATAAATACCTGTACTTGGAATTGCTGAACTGAGAAGGTGTGTGCTTATAATTGTGATAGTGTTTGGATTGCCAGCCCAGTTCTCTGGGTTGCCTTTCAGAGGTTATAAACCGCACAACTATGGGACTCTACATATTTAACTGAGCATATTTACTAAAGATATGGTCTTTTAAAAAGGGCTTATTGTAAAAATGACCCAATTTTCTGAATTTTTAAAGAAATTATTCAAAAATTTTCTGAATTTTTTCACAGCTGTTGTAAAAACTTCACAAATTCCCAGCAGAGATAAGCCTTCTAAAGCTATTTCTGAATTTTGCATTTAGATATATATATGTATAATTTTATTTTCCATGCCATATACCTGTTTATATGCCTGTACTATAACCTGTCTTTTTTAGAAAACAAGTCTTATCATTAATGTCAATAATTCTAATTCTTTCAATAGCTGTATTCTTTCCTAATAAGTTTTGCATTGATTCTGATTTTTCAATTTGATAAAAACAATTTTCTGTAAACATTCTTTCTTATAAGTGTTTTTATTTGTTCTTGATTAAATGTAGGTCATGAAACAGCACAGGCACACCTTTTTTTTTCTTTTAAACATTCTTTTGAAGAAAGCTTGTTTAAAGAGCACAAATTACTGTTTAACCATGTTGATAGAAGTCAGATATCAGGCTCCTTGGTTAGACTTGTTAGATTTTTTGGTTTCTTTAAGGCTTTTATTTCTCAGTTTAGTTATATTCAGATTATTGATAAACTTTATGTCAAATTGAGGTATGTTTTACTCATATGTTATTGGAACGATGCATATTGGTACTATTTTGCTTATGCTTTTCAAAGCTGCTTTGTATACTTCTGGAGATGCAATGTATAAAAGATTATAATATAAATGACATTTTTGTTAGCATATTCTCCTAATGAACTGTGAATAATATTTGATTACCTTTGAGCTATTTAAGAAGAATGGTTGCTTTTTTTCACCATTATCATCTTAAGACCTTTTATGTGAGGGTGTGTATGGTGCCTTTTTGCCAAATAGTCCACTAATTCTAAATAATTTTCCCTTTGGTGTCAGTATCTAATATATATGACCTTATTAAAAAACAGTATACCATATACAGTATAACATGAGAAGACAGTTTCATATCTGATGTTAATTTTTTAAAA